TACCTACTTTTTTAGTTTCATCTTTAATGTGCTGTAATAAAAAGTTTGAAATTAATAAAACTCTAAGCAGTATACAACTTAAATTCTGTAATTGGAATAAGATTGTCCCTCAGCATTGACCAGGATTCAAAACCAGGCATTTTCTGGCAACAGCCCAAATGCTCCACATGCCACATTAAGTTTTCACTGCTCCACCTGGCGGTTTTACAAAGAACTGCAGTCCTATCTTTAAAAAACCTGCAGTATAATGCATCCCCTGTGCAGGATTAATGTTTGGATCTGTACATCATTCAATCAACACCATTCCTACTGTCAAGCATGCAGACGGAGCCCAACGTTAATATGCTTCTCATCAACAGGGAGTGGAAAGTCAAAACTGAAATAAACATAGATGGAGCCTAGTACTGCAGAGTCTTAGTGGCCTAAGAGTAAGGAAATTAGTCCTTGAGTGGTCCAGTAAATGAGTCCTTGAGTGGTCCAGTCAAAGTACTGACCTGAAATCTGTTGAGAATCTTTTTTAAAGAGTTGAATACCGCTGTCCATAGGTGATCCACAGGCAGCTTGAGTGAGCCTGAGCAAATCTTTTAGGAACAATGGGAAGAAATTGCACCACATTAGCATGCAAAGTTGGTAGAGACTCAAAAGTAATTGCTCTAATTGCTGCCACTAAATATTCACAGGCAGGTCTGAATACTTATGCAATCAACATATTTCAGTATTTCAGTTTTTTAACTTTAGTTTTTTTCCTATTTACAGAAACTTATGCAAGCAGTCTTCTGTTTGAATATGCAGGTTTTGAATAAACCTTTAAAACCTTTTGATCTTTAAAAACGTATCTGCGTCATTTTGTAATTTCACAAAATTGGATGCCATTTAAAACCTTTGTGAGGGACCATTTATTTTATTTTTGCATGATGCTGAAGTTTCATAGTTCTCTTAAAGGGTTTTTGGTAGTTAACCTGTTCTTTTTCTTTACAGGTTTTAAATTGTCTGTCCCCTTAACCATTGCTATTTGCAATGAATTCTCATTTGTCTTTGTATCAAGTAACAGGTAGTATATTTTAATAAC